TATGAAATAACATTTCTACAGAAAAAAGTTTCTATTTGTTCTGGACATGCCTAGAAAATATAAAATCTCATTTCCTAGGTATTGATTTTAACACTTAATTGGATTCTACTGGGTTATAAATTGGTTATAACTTCATTTCATAATATCCTTAATTGGCTTTGGGAAGTTTGAATTTCTATATCACCAATGCTTATATTTTACTCAAAGGCCTCTGGGAGAATTCTACATTAGAGTTCTACATTAGGTTTATCTATAATTAAAGCAAGGATACTAATAATATCATATGAAGTAAAACCACATTTTACCAATAAGTCAAAAGAGAATTTCAGACAAAACATCCAGAGCCTGTATTAGAATTTATATGTACATTTTTTTTGTTAACTATATGGAATCTTCTTTTTAATCCTCTGTAGGAAAATTAAAAATTTTGACTGGTATTGGGATAAGGTGGTATTGTGAAAGTGTGGATTTATATAATCAAACCTCAGTAAAATAATATATGGCTCAGAAAAGTGAGCAAGTTAAAAAAAAAATAAAAGCCCATAAAGATCAGAACATGGTTTACATAGACAACAGAGTTTGAAACGTAAATATTTGAAAATACTTGATTCTAATACTACGAGAAATTGAATAATTGGAGAGAGAATTGGTTTACTTGGTCAGAAATCAGAAATCAGGTGGTGGTGGTATGAAACCTTTGTACTGAAATTGGAGACAGCTATTTGAGCTCTTTCTTCATCAAAAAAGAGAGTAGATTCTTCTCTTTCCTAGTAGCTGAAAGCTCCAACTACTGATAACTATTAGCTATTAATATACTAACACCCCAAAACCAAGCCAACACAATGATGCCAAATCCTCAAACACATCTGTGCTTACCAAGTTATTCAGAGGAAGGGTGAATGAGTGACTCTGGAAGAATTTCATTGGACTAAAAGTCCTTAATGAAATGCAGTTAAAAACAACAAAAAGGAATTTCAGAGAAAAACTGAATAGTATTCTGTAGTTTTACTGTTCCTCCTGATACCGAATAATTTTCTTGGAGCTATTATTGTGTTATTAGTAAAGCAAATGAATTAATTATGTATAATTTCATAGGTATCAAGATTGATAAAGAAAGCACAGTTATAGAATCAGGAATTTAAATAAATTAGAAGATAGGAATGAAGATAGTTCTGTGAACTGGCACAGTTCAGACACAAATGTATCTTTTCTTGCTTTGTTCACTGAAACGGTCCAGAAACAATGTTCCATAGTATGGGGTTCAAATTGCTGTTACCCATACAATTTTTTTTTCCACTGAGGGAAACCAGAGATCATTTGGGGGAAAAGTCTGATTCCATGGGGGTGCAGAAAAGAACAACATGAGCCTGAAGATCTTTATGTGCCAGAAAGCAAGGACATTTTCAAAGAGCAATGGGTCATGTCAAGAGACTATAGAAGTCAGCCTAAAAAATGTTCCCATAGACCAAAGCTGAGACAATTTGAGTATCAAAAAGAGAACAGTGGCTGTGGTTGGTGAACCTACATAAAATCTAAAAATCGTAAATACATAAAGAGAAGCAGAAAGACTATATTCTGAGAGAAAGTAAAATGAATAGACTGTGTATCCAATCAGTCTTATTATTCAATCATTTTGCTACCATTGCCTCGCTTATTATATGACAAATAATATAGATACTAATGAATGTAAACACATCAGTTGGAAGGCATTTTTGGAGTTAAAAAGGACCATTGGTAAAATTACTGCATACCATGACTTCCAAGCAGATGAAACCATATACTATGTCCAAAATTTAGCTGAACATGTATTTATGTATTTTAAGAATCTTGTGGTCCTAAGTATATGATAAATGCAAGATGCCATCATCTGCCAGTCCTTACAGTTATATTGTTTAGGACATTATCAAGTGAAAGATCTTTTTTGTATGTTATGTTAATCACCATACATTACA